AAAATGAACAATATGATGTTTCGGAGAGAAAAAAATATATAGAGAATAAAAATTCAAGTTGTTAAGTGTTTTATTATATAAATACATTGTTGTCTAATAGTAAAAATAGAACCACCAAGAAAGATTAAACTTAATTTGGGACTTAATCAATTACAATTGTTAAATTGAGAGTGGACCACTCTAACATAAAAACTCAGAATTAATCTAATAACTGCATTGAATTTGATTTCCAATTTAATTTTTTATATCATTGCTTATATATTTTTATAGGCTTGAGTCCTCAACTCAGTCCTCTCGAGAGGAGTAAATATTGAATTCAACGGTAATACTATGTCAACAATATTAACGTGATATTACCAACTTATAATAATAAAATATTAAGTGGACAAGATTAACTCCACTTGGATAGTTATTTATTTACAGGAAGAAATAATAAATAGTTATTTGCATACATTGAAATGTTGGTTATTAATTTTAATAGAGTCCGTTAACTTCTCTATTTTTATTTCACCACGTTATCATTTACACGTAATATTACCGTTGTAATGAATATTCTCTTCTTCAAGGGGTTCATATCAATGAAATTTAATATATTGACATAATTGACAATGGATCCTAATAGTGGTTAGAATTGCATCTTTGTTAAAAATTTGGACAATTCAAAATCATGGTACAAATTTTGTTGTTTATGGTATTTCAAATAATATAAACTCAATTATTGAAATTTCTAATTTGCTAGAAAACTCCTTTTTAAGGCAAGGAGTTTAAATCACTTAATTATTGTAATAATAACCATGAAAGGTATACAGAGATAATTAGTTGTGAGCTTCTAGGAATTTGCTTTTCAAACCGCCACATGATAGGCTCATGTCTGTGGTGAGGATGTGCAAAGAATTTTGCATTTAACAGTTTTGATATTTGAAGTCCTTTGATTTGAGGAGATGGTTTGGTTTTGGTTTTTGGTTTTTGGTTTTTTTTTAATGTTTTTTGGCTGCATATTATTATTTAGGGGTAATATTTAGGAATAAATTACGATAGCCCAGAGTTGTTTCCGTATTGTTGTGAAAGTTGTTGCAAATTAAGGATATGATGGAATTATTGGGACCAATCATTTTATGGTCGATTTTAGCATTTAAGATGAAGTCTAATTTGTTTAGCAGTAATTTGGCCTTTGGGGATTGTAACTTGACCCAAATTGACTTGTGATTAATGCTTTTTAAATGGTCTGTGGCTAGAATCTTTAGACTGTGTAAAGTTATTCTAGATGAATGTGCTAGTTATAGAGTCCTATCCTTTTGAGACAAATTAGCACACGAGTAGTAGCTAAGTTGGGATAATGTTGGACATGGTAATTTGCCCAAATTGTAATATAAATAATATTTATTGTTCTTTCTATTTATTTTTTATGAAGTTACTGTACAAATTGTTTTCGATTGTGCATGTATATTAGCAGTACAATCGTCATAATTGTAAAGGTAATTATGTAATGGGTGTGGAATGAAACAGATGCTATGAATTATTTTCTATTCACACCTTCCTTGAAAAGCTAATTGATGCATGTTTCAACCCCTAAAACAATGCAAATATAAATTTTAATGATTTAAGATTATAAACACCACATTTATACATCAAATTCATTTATCTTATATTATGTTTATAAAAATAAGAGTTTTCTAGTTAATGCAATGCCTACCTAAAGCATAGAAGGTGATTTTTTTTTTTTTTTCATATATAATGGTATTTTACACTACTGTAGAGAGGGTTCGAAACCATAACTTGTCACTGTTTTACGCAGGGCCTTAGCCACTTGGGTAGACCCACATGTCTAAGTTGATTTGTTTAGCTACCCTTGTTTACAATTAACACACACCACAATTGTCAAGGGCATTTTTTGATTCAAGATGACATTCTAATACTATTCCTAATTATCCGGCCTCATAAAGTAAAAAGATAATGGGATGTGAGTATTTTTTTCAAAACTTATTTGACTTTAAGTACTACCTTCAAACTTATCCTCCTTTAAGTCTTCTTTTTCATCAAATAGTTGTCAATAAGTACACATTTTAAAACATTTTTAAATTTTTTCTAAAATATATTCCATAATTACCCCTACCATAAATAGTGCATACTTACTTGAATGTGAGACTTTCAACATTAAAATGTGAAAACTTTCAAAATTCTTTTTGATATTTATGTATCATTTAAATTTTGAAATTTCATATATATATATATATATATATATATATACACACACACACACACACACACACGTAATACAGTGACACGCTCAACAAAAATATTTGTGTTACTGTTTGATATTATTATTTTTTTGTTGAGTGTGTTACTGTTTGATGTTACTATTTTTTTGTTGAGTATGTTACTGTTTGATGTTACTATTTTTTTGTTGAGCGTGTCTGTATATATATATATATGATTTCAAAATTCAAATGATACACAAATATCAAAAGGAATTTTAAAACTCTCATATTTAATTAGGTATGCATTATTTATGGTAGGGGTAAAAGGGCTTTTATGATTATTTTTTTTAGCATATGTACTTCTATCCCAATTATTTTAAAAAATATACTTTTATCCTATTAAATTTTTTGAGAGGTACCGACCTCCCAAAGCCCCTAAAGCAAATCAAGCTGGTGGTGATTGGGAATTCGTAGCTAGTGGCACATTTCACCCAATCCTAAAACTTGGTGGGCTGTCCAGGTCTTGGGTTGATCCCAATTCTGGGCCCAAGAAAGATTAATACATAAGGCACAAAAGCAGAAAGGAAAAAAATAAGAGAATTACAAGGAGAAAACTAGGAGCGTAATTTGGGCGGATTAATTTGAATTTAATTACACTTGTAAGTGTAACTGTTGTAGTTATCCACTGATCAAAGAAAAAAAAACCTGAACTTAATTCAAACACAACCCAAAAACAAAAAAATATTAATGTTTGGATTGAATTTTTTAAAACTTAGATCGAACTTGAGCCAAAAATCCTTAAGTGGAATTAAATTTGGGGTTGGGCTTAGGTTGAGGCTTTGGGTTTATGGGTTTAACTTATACCCAAACCAAATTACTAAAAATTGGATTAAATTTGAATTTAACCCAAGTTTTTATTTAAGCAATAAAAAAATAAATATATAAAAGGCCACACAATAAAATACTATGTGTTTGTTGTTTACACACATCAGGAAGTTTTTCTAGCACTAATGGGAGACGGATGTGGGATATTGAATAAAAAGCAAAAGAAGATGTATAATTTAGAATCCCACATAGGTTGAACACAACAAAAGACAGTCCCTTCTCGTGTATAAAGAAGACAAACTTCATGTGACTTTTGTCTTTAATGAGCTTGGTTTTCTTTAGGCCTATTTGAGTTTAATAAAAAAATTAAAGCTGTTAACATATAGAAATTTAAATTAAATCCAAAAATTGAATCCAATTTAATAAATTGGGCTCAACTTGAATTAAACCAAAGTTTAAACTGAGCCCAAGAGGACAGTCCTCAAGTTGAGGTGCTTTGGGATGAAGTCGAGTTTAGGTTGAGAGTTTTATGTTGGGCTCGGGTTAGCCTCTTAACTCGTCCAAATTACAACCCTGGAGAAAACGTAGTATTCGTGCTTCATTGCGTATTGAAAAGTTCTAAAAAAAGTTTAAAGAACAACTAAGTTAGATTTTTTTTTTTTTTTCAAAAAAACTTTCAGAGATTTACACTAGAGGCAATGAGTGCCCTTCGCTCTCAGCCACCATGAAACCCACCCAATCGACTCTCCTCCTCCAACTGATTCTGTTTTTCTTTACTGCAAACCGGATACCAACCCACTCCCACTTTCACTCTCTCATTCTCTCACCGCTTACCCCCTTGTCTCATTCTCATAGACCCAAAACCCCTCTTTATCCCCCACCTACCTTGCTTTATCACCACATCTGATAAATGGACCCTACTGCCATTAAAGGCAAGCTAGATAGCTTATCAGGAAGCAACAATCCTGAGCTACCAGAAGCTCGTGTAAATGCCAAAGTGAACCCAGATGGGACAAAAGAGCTGGGCTCCAATGGCCCACATGGAGGCCATTCAAGAAATATGGGAAAAATAGGGCAGGCACAGGTTCAAACATAGGAGGTGGCGATTGGTGAAACTCCTTCTGCCGACAAATTGAAATCTAGCGGTGCAACTTCAAAAAAATCGGTAGATGATGTGTTGCCAAAAGACAAGCAATATCCGACAAAGTCTCAACCTTACTTGCTGGAGGCTCAGTAAAAACAACTCGAACCTTGAGCATCTTGGAACCAGGTCCTTAAAGAAGGATGAGCAACTAACCACTTAGCCAATCAAAGAGAAAGCCAAACCCAGATAATGAAACTTCAATTTTTTGAGCCAAAAATGAAAAATAATAGAATTGTGGTCCATCCCCTGAAGAAATTGGTAGGCAAGGATGTCTTGAATGGCAGAACTGTCTTGTGGGATACTTCATTGAAAAGAAGCTTCTTTTTACCACTGTGAGTTACCTGGCACACATGATGTGGGATAGTCAAGATCTTTTGGAGGTATTGGCAAAGGACAATGGATTTTACTACTTCAAATTCATGAATGATGAATCTAGAACAAAAATCTTTGAGTCTGGCCCTTGGTTGCTATTAGGTAGGCCATTAATACTCCAGAAATGGCAACCAAACCTTTTGTTAACAAGGGAGAATCATTCCATAATCCTATTGTGGATTAAACTCCACAATATTTCCCTCCAATTTTGGAATGAGAAAGGCCCGAGTTACATAGCAAGTGCTGTTGGGAAGCCTCTTTATGCTAATAAGCCCACATCCAAGAAACAGAGAATAAACTTTGCAAAAATTTGTGTTGAAGTAAATGCTAGAAATCCATTAATTGAAGCCTTTGATTTGAATGTGGATATCAATGGAATGGTTGAAACTGTGGAAATAAAGGTAGAATACCAATGGAAACCCAAGATGTGTAATACATGTAAAGTTTTTGGGCACAATGAGTCCTTATGCCCCAAAATGATGTCTAAAGCTAGGAATAATGTGGAGGAGCAAGCTGCTATTCATATTCTGAGCGCAGACCAACCTGTCTTTTGCTTAGACAAGGGCAAAGCAGTGGCATCTATAGTGCTAGATACTGAAACGGTGGAGACTAATAAAAAGAGAGTTGCAGACAACCATTTGGTGCCTGGTAACGAGATTGAAGGGTATCCTCAGGTTGATTCTCAAGTCATAGAAATCATAGTGAAGTAAGTTGCCTCTCCCCAACAGGACACGGGGAGGATTACATCTAAGAACAAATTTGCGGACCTGAGTCTAGAGGCAGGTGAAATCATCATGGACTTGGCCGTTGAATCTCAACCTAGTACCTCAATCTGCAATGAGGTGACTAAGGTGAAGGAAAGAACAGATGGAAACAAATATCCACTGGGAAGTAAATAGAAGAAAGTGAAAAAGAAAGACCATGAGATGGGGAAGTCTAAGGTGACTGAGCACCTAATTCTCAGGAAGGTTCTCCCCCCTCAATGAAGCTTGCATGCTGGAACATTAAATGACTTAACAAGCCCTCAAAGTAGGAAGAAGCCAAGAAGTTGATAGTGGAACCACAGCTTAATCTTTTGGGAATTGTTGAAACAAAAGTCAGGTGTGTGAATAAAGATAGGTTGATGCATAATGTGTTTCAAAATTGGGATTACCTGGCAAATTATGATAGCCATCATTTTGGAAGAATCTGGATTGGGTGGAACCCAAATACAGTGGAAATTAATAAAATTGAGGAAACTGACCAAGTGATACATTGTTTGGTCAAGCATTTTGATAGCATTTCACAATTTTTTGCTTCTTTTGTCTATGGGTCAAATGATGACATAGAGATGAGAACTCTGTAGAGGGGACTTAGGCACCATTCAAATGTTGTTGCCGCTGAACCATGGGTTGTTTTAGGAGACTTCAACGATATTAGAACACCGAGTGAAACTACGGGAGGTCAAAGTAGTGGGTGTCAATTAATGGAGGATTTTGATGTTTGTTTGCAAGATTCAGAACTCATGGATCTTAGGTATACTGGGATGGAGTAACAGAAGAGAAGGGGAAGCCATTGTAGCTAGAAAGCTGGATAGAGTTCTAGTTAATGAAGCCTGGACAAATAGATTCCAAATGTCTACGGCTGATTTTCGTCCTGCAGTTGTCTCTGACCATAGCCCTGCAATTGTTCAAATTGGTCCAAGGCTCCCCAAAAGAAAATGTCCCTTTAAATTTTTCAACCACATTGTAGCAAGAGAGGACTTTTTGGACCTTGTTCAACAGATTTGGACTCAAAATGTACAAGGAAGTCACCAGTTTCAAGTTGTCAGCAAGCTCAAAGGTCTCAAAGTTATTTTTAAAGAGATTATCAAGGAAGTAGGGGATGTTTCAGTTAAAGCAAGAGAGGCAAGAGAATCTCTAATGAGATGCCAAAGAAAGCTACACACTAACCCTGTTGATTCTGCATGGAGATAGGAAGAAATACAGCTTCTGAAGGATTATACTCAAGCAGCCAAAGATGAAAAAAAATTTTACAAGCAGAAATCCAAAGTGCAATGGCTCAAAGAAGGGGACAAGAACACATCATATTTTTTTCAAGACAATGAATTGTATAAGAAATAGGAAAAAGATTCTTACACTCAAGAGGGTAGATGGATCAAAGGCAGAGGGTGATCATGCAGTGAAGGAAGAAGCGATTAATTATTATGTCAACTTATTTGGCCAAGCTAGACTTGTTGTCCTAGTCCAAGAGTGAAGAGCTGGCATGCAATCCGTGGTTCAAAGCAAAATTTCTCCACACATTGCTGCCGAAATAGTTAGCGAGGTGTCTAATGAAGAAATAAAAGGAGGTAATCTTCTCTCTAAATGACCATAAAGCACCTGGCCTAGGTGGGTTTAATGCTCTATTTTTTAAGAAAGCTTGGCCACTCATTGAGCATGATATTACTGATGCAATTAAAGAGTTCCTTACTACTGGTCAGTTGCTTAGGGAGCTAAATAATACAATCATCACCTTGGTCCCCAAAGTTCCAAACCCCTCAGCTATAGGAGATTTCAGACCAATTTCATGATGTAACACTCTTTATAAAGCTATCTCAAAGCTTATAGCTAACAAAATCAAAAAATGTCTTTCAAACCTTATCAATCCTAACCAAGCTGCCTTCATCCAAGGCAGAAGAATTGGGGACAACATCCTGTTGACTCAAGAGCTAATGAGAGACTACCACAAAGATTCAGGTCCCCCCCCCCCCAGATGTGCACTTAAAGTTGACATTAGGAAAGCCTTTGACACTGTCCAGTGGGATTTTATGATGGATGGTTTGGAAGCCTTTAATTTCCCAATGACAATGAGGAAATGGATCCATGCCTGCATTACTACAACCAAGTTCTCGATTAATGTGAATGATGAGATAGTTAGTTACTTCTCAAATTTTAGAGGATTGAGACAGGGAGATCCATTATCTCCCTACTGTTTTATAATTGCAATGGAGTTTCTATCCCTGATAACATAGAACAACATAAAATCCAATCCCCAATTTAAGTTTCATTGGAGATGCTCAAAGCTCAAAATGGTTCAACTCTCCTTTGTTGTTGATTTGATGTTATTTTGTCATGGTGATGCGACTTCTGTTCAAACCTTGAAGAGATCTCTTCATCAATTTGGCTAACTCTATGGATTAATTCCCAATATTGAAAAGAGCAATATATATCTATGTGCAGTCCCTGAGGAAGAGGGATCATTAATCATGGAGATTCTTGGGTTCTCTATTGGTGATTTACCTATCAACACCAAGCTTAGGGCTCAACACTGCATGGGCCTCATTGAAAAGGTTGAAAACAAGGTTAAGTCTTGGACCCAACAAGTTCTTATTCTACACAAGAAGGCTTCAACAAGTAACTTCAGTGCTTAGTAGCATGCATGTCTTCTAGGCTACCCACTTGAGTTTACCACAAAAAGTGTTGGACAAGCTTGAACAAACTTTGAGGGCTTTCATTTGGAAGGGCACTGAGCTCAAATATACTGGAGCTAAAGTTGCATGGAATGATGTTTGCAAGCCAAAAAGAGAGTGTGGCTTGGGTATAAAAGGGTTGAAGGAATGGAACAATGCCTTGCTCCTGAGACATTAGTGGCAATTGTTTAATGACAAGGAAAACTTATGGACCCAATGGATACATGCTTACTATAAAAGGGATAGAAGCTTAAGGGAGCTCAAAACTCCCCAAACCTGCTCACACACCTGGAGGAACCTTTTAAAACTTAGGAAAATCCTAAGACCTATAATGGTGCACATTGTATGGAATGGGCAGCTCACAAGCTTCTGGCATGACAACTGACATCTATATGGTCCCCTGTTACCAAGAAGCAGCTCTAATATAGTGCAACAACCAAGAATTCCAAGGGAAGCAAGAGTTAGTAGTGTTATTGCCAACCACCAATGGAACAGAACTGCTTCTACTCATCTATGTGTACATGATATTTTTAACAATATGCCAACCTACCTTCCTGATCAAACCAAAAATGATTTTGTGAGATGGTCCCTTACCACTGATGGGAATTACTCTACGAAATCTGTTTGGGAGCACTTGAGGAATGCAACTATTATGGTCTTTTGGCATAATTTGGTATGGTTTGGCCAATCAATACCTCGAATGGCCTTTATCCTTTGGTTAGCCATTAAAATAAGATTGAGCACTAAAGATAGAATCCAAGCTTTCTCAAATGAAGTTGACACTCAATGCGTCTTGTGTAGAAAGGCTAATGAATCTCACAACCACCTCTTCTTTGAAAGTGATTACTCCTCTAGAGTTTGGAACTCCATTCTTCTTCTATGTAATCAACATGGACAGCAAAGGCAATGACCTGATTTTATTGATTGGGCTGCTCAGTAGTGGAAAGGCAAGAAGGTGACCACTATTATCTTGAAGATCAATCTGTCTACTACTGTGTATCATTTTTGGAAGGAAAGAAACGCAAGAACCTTTAGAAACCAAGCTGTTGAATCTCATATTCTCATCAAGATGGTTAAGCAGTCTATTAGAAGAGGCTCCTTACTTTGAAGTTCAAGCGCAGCCATCTTAGTGCCTCTACCTTGTTACAATGGAACCTGCCTGACACATGCCTCCATTAGTTCTGAATTTGAAGCTTGCTGCATCAATGTTTTGACACTTACAAGACTTGCCTCCATCCTTCTTGGTAGGGATTCTTGGGGAAGTACTGGCTCAACGCCTATACTTCTCTCAAAATTCCTAACTTGAGAAGGATCTCTGTTTTGTGTTTTTAGTTTTGATTTATGTGCTTGGGCCTGGCTGCTCGATGCTTGTTGCTGCTGTGTTGTACTATTTTTTGTGTTGCTGTGTTATGCTTGGGCCTGTCTGCTTCATGCCTGTTGCTCTTCTGCAATTGGCTTGCTATGGATCCACTTCCTAACTTGCGAAGGATCTCTGTTTTGGTTTGATGCTTGTTGCTGCTGTGTTGTGCTGATTTTTGTGCTGCTGTGTTGTGCTTGGGCCTGTCTGCTTCATGCCTGTTGCTGTTGTTTTGATTGCTGGCCATCTTGGTTGCAGGGGAATGCATAGTCTGTGCTGATTTTTGCTACTGCAAATGGATTACTTTGGAGCTTTTTGAGTTTTTTTTTATGTCTGTCTTTGATTCCTACGTGACTTCATTGTACAAGTTGTTGATGATTACCTTTGTATATCTGTTTTTTAAATACACTTTACCTTTTGAAAAAAAAAAGTTAGATTTTCTTTTCCAATAAAAATGCTAAAGTAACCAAATTCTGAACCTAAATGATAAGCAAACCAAGACAAACCAATGATATTGTTGGACTCCTTATTTGTTGGGAAAAAAGAATGCCACGTTATTTTGGCTCAAAATTTGATTTAAAATTTTATTATACACCATACAAATTTAAAAAATGTTGTTAATCAAACCCCAAATATTATTCTTAGGTAATTATTCCCCTAACTTGGGTCTAATGCAGTTTTATTTTGAGGCGAACTAGCACAAAAGTTTTTTGCCTAGTCAATGAGTTACTATTCTATACAACATATTAACATTTGGCATCACGACTCAACAATATTGCACCCTATGTGCATTGTATGTCATGTTATCATTAACGTGAGATATTATAGGACAATAACAAAACATCACTTATTATCCGTGTCTTAAGACACTATACAATAAATAAAAAAATTTTAAACAATTGTTCAAATTCAAAAAGAAAGACATAAAAATATTCGTACTAATTCTTTTTTTAAAATAACTCGAAATATATATATATATATATATATAAATGCCTCTGAAAAAAAATAAATACTAACATAACCAATTAAAATTTATAATCTTTAAGTAATAAATAAAAGCTTGTTCATTATAACACTCATGAATTTATCACCTCTACTCCCACTCAATTCAATAACACAACATAATTATAAATTCACCTACCATATTTTTAATCCACCCTATTCCCATGTAATAAATACCTCAAGCCAAAAAAAAAAAAAACTAACAAAATACAATTAAATTTACAATCTTAAAACGATAAATAAAATCAATCAAATCATGCTCAATTATAAAACTCATGAATTTATCACCACTATTACCTTTTAACCCCAAAATAACATAATATAATTATAATCACCAAATTTTTAATCCTCCACAATTAAAAAGTATACACAGAAACACAAACACACACATTTCTTTTTTAGTTAATACCAAACTCTCCTAACCAATAACTATTTTTATTAGAAATATAATAATTCAAGTTTGTAAGATAAAATAATAATAAATTAATATTTAATTAAAAACATAGATAAAAAATTACAGACGTAGCCTGAGTTTTGGTAATATTACACGAACGCCTCTTGATATTTTATAAATAACACAGAGACCTCTTATATTTAAAATACATTGCATAGAGACTCATTTGTCTCTCTTTTGTCAATGTTGCTAACAAAAATTGATCATTTCATTTTAAAAATTTTTATTATTTTTACAATTGCCTTTCTCCAAATTCAATACCAAAAAAAATTTAAAATTTTAATAAAATCTTTTAAAATTTGATTTAGTACCCAAAAAATTGATATAATTTAGTACTCTAAAAATTAATTAAATAAATTTCAATATTAATTTGATAACAATAAAAATTAATTTGATATTAACGACAAAGTTGAACTTAAATAAGACAAAATTAAATGTCATTTTTTGATAAAATTATATATAAATTTACAATTTAAGGTTCATTTTGTGTTGAATATTATTTAGTGTTTATAGTCAGTATGCTATTTTTTTTATTTACATTAACTGTTATTTACAAATTAAGAAGTAAGTGGTAAAATACATACTGTCATATATATATAAATTTTGAATTAGTTTTATGGAATAAATAATTGCATAACATGTAGTTTCATCTATTTTATGGAGTAAATAATAACAAAAATATCACAGAGAAAACAAAAAAAAAAAAAAAACAATATGAGAAAGAGAAAGAGCTATATGAGAGTTTTTGAGTTGTAAAATAAATGAAAGTCCAATTAGGACCATCGGATCAAAACGATCTAAGCCGCAAAAAATTCAAAACAAACAATTTATCTATTTTATTATATATATACTATACGCGTGTTGCCTTGTATTAAATTTTGACACGATGTGTTAGCCATGAAGTTGATATTAGCATTATGCTAATATTTACTCTCACTATGAATACGATGTATTTATTGAATTACACTAGATATTCATATGAGTGATATATCATAGCTATGTTCATATAGTAGTCTATTATAAAACTGTGATATTACGTGTCAATAATAACATCTTAATCTAGGAAATATCAAGGGACTTGAGATTAGAACATATCGGCCCAAGCTAGGGCCAGCGCAGCCTCGGGCCATGGCTACCTAATCTTAGCCCAGCCCTCTAGGCAATTCAAGGGTTGCCACTGAGAACTTGAGAAATGGCCACGGTACATCCTAAAGGTCTTGGATATTGGGCCATGTGGCTTAATATGTCGACGATATCTATGTACTTTGCTTACAGGCTTCTTTCACCCATTTGGTTTGGAGCAGGATAAATATGGAATTTAGTTCTTATGTCCTTGAATGCCGAGAGACTGGTTTAGTTGATTGATTGACTTTGGTGGTTTGACATAGGTCTGTCCAAATACGACACAGCATGACTAATCGACACGAAGTAATGTTGAATAGTCCGTTTAATAAACAAATCGTATTCGATTTATAAATTTTTACCATTTAATTAAACGAATTGTATATGGGTTGAATAATTTTTCATACGAATTCGATTAGATTTGACATTAACCCACTAAATCTGACACGATTAACACCCCTAGTTTGATCATACCGAACATGTGGCAAGATTCGAAACTCAGACCTCTAACTTGGGAGGTGAGGGCTTGGCCATCAAAACTAACCCATGATGCTCACATCATATGCCAACTTATAAATAGAAGTAGAATCGTCATAAATTATAAAGGAAACTACAGAAGCGTTAAATGAAGCTGACACTATGAATTATTTTCTATTCCCATCTTCTTCGAAAAGCTAATTGATACATGTTTAACTCCTAGAACTATGCACATATAGATTCTAATGATTTAAGATCATAAGCATCACATTTACATGTTACACCAGAAAGATGCTAGTGTATACTGTATAAGTGCTAGATTTGTATACATTCTTTTGATTAATGCAATACTTACCTAAAGCATAAAAGGTGATCTGTATGTAAGAATGACCCATTGTCTAAAGCTTTTTTTTTCTTTTCTTTTTTATATATGTAACGATATTTTACACTATAGAGGATGGGGGATGGGGGATGGGGGATGGGAGCCAGGGAGTGGGCTGGAGACCACAGCCTTTCATTGCCTTAGGCAGGACCTTTGCCACTTGGGTAGATCTGCAGATCTAAGGTGATTCAACTACCATCCTTTACAACCACGCTTATAAGGATGCAGGAACAATATTTAGAAATGTCGTGGACTGCATAAGGTTCAAATTAAACTCAAGCAGAGGCTGTAAGGAGACAACATCTAACCTCTGAGAATATTCTTTTGAACCACCTTGACTGACTGGTAATGTGGGTGTCCTGATTATCTCCTTGGTGTTTAGTAATATGTTTTCTTGGGAGTGTTTCTCTCGCTTCTGTCTTTTGCTAGGCTAATTGATATACACGTGCGTTGTACATTGACTATTTTGAATTTTGAATTTAGATATTATATATTTTTAGTATAAAGTTTATCAACTATTGCACTATTTAGATTTTAATAACATAAAGTGATCGTCTATCATTTATAAACCAAAACTAAGTGATTCACATAATCTCCAAAAACAGTATGAAAAATAAATTATGCTTGAAAAGAAGATTTAAAACTAACTACATGTCAAGTAGATCCTTTAAGCATAATTACATTTTAACTATATGGCAATTACATCATACCTTAGCACCCATGTTTGGAGGAGCAGGATTCTCAATTCAAACTCACTTCTAAGTAACACGTGAAGCCTAATAATATAAACAATTTTAGAGAAGCAAAATACAACATTCTACAAATCATTTTAATGTTCACTATTGCACAGGAGAATTCCTGTAATGAATTGAGATAATGACACACACTGATAGTCCTTCAAATAAGTTTAAAAAATTATACCCACACTTAAAAAATCTTATTACACTTTACTATGTCACAAACACTTTTGGGCTTTTAGGCCCATTTTTGTTAGAAATTTCTTGTTAGTTCAAACTACGTAGGAATTTTTTTTGCTTGGATTCAATTTTATTTGAGTTTAATCTTTAGGTGTGAGTACAATTTTTTAGACTTATTTGAGCAAAAATATATGGATAAATTATTTGTTTTATTAAATACAATTTTTATAAAACTTTTTGTGTTTAGGTACAAAATTCAAAATGCATTAAAATCTTTTTTTACCTAAACACTTTTTCTTAATTTATGCAGTTATCATTGACAGTTATTTGAGGAAATAAATATGTAAAGATTAACAATAATAATGGAAAGTAAAATAGAAGTTTACAGAGAACGAGAAAGAGCAAAAGTAGAAGTATTTCGTACTAGAAGATGAAGATGAAGGAGTATGTGTACAAAGTATATATATATATATATATATATATATATATATATATATATATATATATATATATATATATATATATATATATATATATATATATAT